CTTGGCCTTGCACGTGGGTGCTGCAGGCCTGGAGTGGAAGGGCAGAGCCCTGTGGGCTGCCAGGGGGAGGGGGAAGCACTTTCCCTTCTCCTTCCTCTGTTTAATTCAGACTGTTGTGCAATGAAGCCTCTCAATCCTAGAATCATCCAGGTGGGAAGGGACCTCAAAGCTCCCCCAGCTCCAGCCCCCCTGCCATGAGCAGGAACCACCAGACCAGGTGGCACAAACCTCCTCCAACCTGGCCTTAAAACCCTCCAGGGATGGGGCATCAACAGCCTCCCTGGGCAGCCCATCCCAGTTCCTCCCCACCCTGAGAGTGGAGAATTCCTTCCTCATCTCTCACCTCAATCTCCCCTCTCTCAGTTTAAAACCATCACCCCTGGTCCTATCACTGTCTGCTCTGATGAAAAGTCCTTCCCCAGCTTTCCTGGAGCCCCTTCAGGCACTGGAAGCTGCTCTAAGGTCTCCCTGGAGCCTTCTCTTCTCCAGTTGAACACCCCAACTCTCCCAGCCTGTCCCCAGAGCAGAGCTGCTCTTTGGGATGGCTGTGGATCAGCTGTAGCCCTGGGCAGAGCCAGGAGCACTAGGGGTGACAGCCCCATGGTTGCTGTATCTCCTCCCTGTGTCCTGCAGGTTCCCCTGTGTCTGTTCTCACACACCAGCATCTCCTGGTGAGCACTGGCTTTCCCAGTGTTCAGCCTGGAGAAGAGAAGGCTCCAGGGAGACCTTAGAGCAGCTTCCAGTGCCTGAAGGGGCTCCAGGAAAGCTGGGGAGGGGCTTGGGACAAGGGCAGGGAGGGATGGGATGAGGGGGAATCGTTTTGAGCTGGAAGAGGGGAGATTGAGGTTGGACATGAGGAGGAAATTCTTTGCTGTGAGGGTGGTGAGAGCCTGGCCCAGGTTGCCCAGGGAAGCTGTGGCTGCCCCATCCCTGGCAGTGTTGAAGGGCAGGTTGGATGGGGCTTGGAGCAACCTGGGCTGGTGGGAGGTGTCCCTGCCCATGCAGGGGGGTTGGATCTAGATAATCTTGAAGATCCCTTCCCACCCAAAGCATCTGATGATGATGATGAAGGTCCCTCTCCTCCACCCTGGGAATCACCCCGTGCCATCCCAG